TCGACGTTCCGTTGCCAGTCTCCGTCTTACCAACCCCATTTTAACGGCGAGAACGGGTCGCAACTTACCCATTCAATTTTGTATTCGAATCTTGGATATTAAAATCCAAAATGACGTTAGCTTTCTTTCGTTTCCAATGTTCGCACTGTTGATAGCGAAGGATAATAGAAAGACGAGAATTTCAAGAGTTTCAAAGCTACCACCTTGATATTCATAGCTGATTCGTATTCTCGTACCGTCGGATGTTGTTCGAACGAACAAAGACTTTTACATGTAGACACAAAAGGAGTCTGGAGATGGTCAAGTACACGTATCATTCTCGATGCACTCGCTACAATGCCGATGGAATTTAATTTGGCTCGATTCTAAAAGTTTGTTTACGTTTGGTTGTTGGCTAACGCACCGTTGCGTTTAAAAATATAGTCTGATTTAAAAGAAACGGTGAATCATTACGGTACAGCCTAATAATTTGACCCTCGTGGTTTACGACGACCGGCATACCTGGCTTAAAACGCTACTAATAGTCGCCACTTGGCAGTCGCTATTATCACGCGGACACACTTCGAAATAGCACGGCCTGCCACATCGACGTCAAAGATTGATCGCACCAGACTGTCGACATTCTCGCGGAGCGTCGTTCCGCCGATAAAAGTAGCTACCGTTTAATCGAATTCGGACGAAACGAGCCCTTCGCCACGTTGTCTATTTTAAAATGCCACGTTTATGTCCGCGGGGAACGGAAAAATGAAAAGCAGAATTCGATCGATGGACCGAGACGTCTGGCGGTTTTGAAATTTCAAGGTCAACGTTAGAAAAAGAGTCGCAGTAAGAGCATGGTACTCAGAGGGTGGTTAGGAATCGGAAATAGCCGAGCAAATAGATTTCAATTTCCATCGGTGCGTGTATTCTTTCCAAAGTGAAAGAGAGGGGGGGGGGGGGTAGAGAAAAAATAGTGAGCTATTAGCCGCGCCAAGGTATACTTTGCTCTTTTCATGGGCCTCTAGCCACCAACGACAACGCGACTCTGGTAGAGTGTTGGTCGAGCCCTCGACTTTGTATGCACGGAAAGCCGCTTTGCGACGTCAACGAAGGGGACACGCGCTCCGGGTTGGATACCAGCCATGATAATATGTAATGCCTGTATAGACTCGAGTCCTTCGATCGCGAATCTTTGAAGTCCGAACTGGCTCTCCGTCGGCATTATCCGACGCTAAAAATCACCGGACAAAACTATGAGAAAGCCAAACACGCGGCGGAGCTCATACTCCGCGACCAGACTCGGCCAGTCCTTATTCATTCTCCCCCTTTTTTTTTCTCTCTTTTTCTTTCTTCTTTTTTACGGTACGCGGAACGAGCGTATATACGGGCGAGCACCTGTGGCCACTTTAAACGATGCCGTGGTAAACGGTAGTCAGGATAGATTGAACGGTCCGATAGGGTTTTAGCTCTCTTCTTTTGCCGTGAGGATCGGGACTCGCGCGCTTTTAACCCCTCGACTCATTAGAGCCCATAACTCTGTTCAGCGAAACGTTTTACGTGCGCTGCCGTGTAACGCGGCCACCGAAGGAGGAAGCACGACCAGTTATACTATATTTTAACATGCGACGCGCATCCCTCATGTTTTCGAAGGGAATTTATTCTCAATCGGAATGAGAACTCGTTAGCGGTATACATTAATCGCGATAAGTCGCTGCCTCGAAGACGATTTAGCTCAGACGTTCGGCGTATACGTATATAAGACGGACGGGTAATTGTGCCTGAACGTTCGCGAAGTGTCATTTCCTTTTTTTCCTACCGATTGCCCTTCCCCGGGGGCCGTTTTTAGGGACTGAAATTACGAGTTCGACTAGGAACGCTCGAGGGCTCGTTGCGCATTATTGCAGTTTTTCGTCCGGACCTCCCACTGTCCTTCTAACGAGACCACCGAAGGTACGGCTACTAAAAACCGCGCAAGAAACCCGCCAAAGTACGGCCTTTATACGGGACGTTTTATATCGTAGTCGATTCGATTGAGCACAGTCGCTCCAATTATGGGCGAATATATAAGTGGATCTTGTCGGACACGCGCTACCATTGCGACCCCTTTATATGGATGAAACGATAGCGCGCGAAAGTCCGTCAACGGGGTTCAGATCCGATTTACTGTTACACGCCGGCGTTGCTTACCATCCGTGGAGAGGACAGCATGATCTAGATGCCGTTTTTTGCCGGCGACGGTGCGACGCGAGCGTATTTGCGCCTCCGCGTCGCATGCCTTGGGGGTCGTGCGTGCGAACGAGCCTTCTCGATGCTCGGGAATCCTTTCGGCAAAAACCCAGGCGGCGCTAACCACTCTCGCCATTTATCCCAAGATGCACTACGGGGATCGCGACTCGCAGGAAACTCCTATCCCTGAAACAGAAAACCGAACGTAGAAATATTTTTCCTTGGGAAACGAACTCGAAGCCATGCGTCAAATAATTCGCTAAAGTCGATTCACATCGATGCAACAACGAAATCTCTTGATAAATTATTTATGTGCATCTTTTATTTCCTGCCCTCGTAATTAAAGTGTACGTTACGGTAGTTCTTTTCGCCATATCCTTTCGTATCGTAGGTTTATTATGGTTCACAATTACATAGTTTTTAATTTCGCTCATAGATAGGAATCGCTCCGTGATTCCCGCCCCTTGGATCCAACCTGGAGGAAATTAGCTATTCAGCGTTGCTGTTGCAATTTTGGAGCAACGACCCGAGCACTCGCGTCACGATAACCACGCGTTTTGAATATGAAACTACTAAAAATCTCGCGACATTTTGTTAATAGACTTCCCCCTCGCTTTTGTGGGTCAGCCCGGTGACCGAAGGCGAGAGAAGCTGGGTGAAAGCATACGTTGCATAATGAATTCCCGTACACGGTATCGCGTGTACAATGAAAAAAAAAAGCATAGCCCCGGTGCATTGTCCAAGAATTAATTAAAATGGCGCGAGAACAAACGGCCACGAAAGTCGACGAGGAAAAGAAGCTCGCGGCTCTCCTCGGAATCCCAGCGGCGACATATCACTGGGCGGTAGATCACACGGGGCTCTTTTGCAGTCTTGCACCGGGCGGATAAAGCGCTGCAGCGGCTGCAGGCTGGCGCATCTTTTACGTATGCACGAGCATAAGCATAACGCAGGGGAACATGGGTAGATGATATCGTGGATGCACCTACGGGGCCACGGGGCGTCGACGCGATTCCTTTGTCCTCGTTCCTGGCCGCTCGTTCTTCTTGCTGCAACCGCTTCGCCCCCGGACGACCTCTTGGTGCACATTTTGTTCGCGGAAATACCGCGGCCAATCTCGTGCATCAATCCCGCCGGGTTTGGAATTGTATCAAAAGAAACACACTGCGCGGCGGCTACCGCGCTCGAACAGATTACCATCTCATCTATACGAGAGATGGTTGATACTCTTGTTCGCGTTCAACGTTCTTTTCTTTTTTTTCGTTCTTTCCCTTCCCACCCCTCTTACAGAGACACAAGTATCCACACGGCTGTGAGTTGTAATTATTTTAATCGACGCGATCTTTGACCGCGAAACACGCTTTGATTTCGCGGCTGCAACTTTCGGGGATTAATCGGGGGGAGGCCCGTTAGGAACGTGTGAATCGCGAATCGCGAGCGAAACGTTTGACCGTTGCTGTTCCGAAGCAGGTCGGGCTCGATCATTACTCGTCGTTTCATTAGAATATCTTCGATAAAAGGGGTTTAATTATAAAGGCAACCTGGACTCTTCCTGTACGCCGACACGCACATATACGGGCACAGAGGTGCGTGCTGCACGCACGTTCGCCCTTCTTACGTTCTCCTTTCCTCTTTCGTACCTAGCCTACATTTTTCACCACCGCGGCCGATTAATAACACCGTTTTCTCCATTACTAAACATTGTTAAGAAGAGCTGGTTCTTAATATAGCACGATTATCTAGATAATCGTACACGAGATTATAAATATTATGCAAATCATGTAGTTCCTCCCAGCTCGTACGCGTACACGGCGAAGTAGCGCGATTAAATCAACGCTGTTCAAACATTTAACCGCGTCATTTGATTTCGAATTAAACAGCCATTTTTCTCCTTTAACGTCTCGGGACGATGATATGCAAAAATAATCGCGCGGCGGGATTATTTTTTACGTGCATCGACGACGATATGGAGACGGTATTTCGAATAACGAAATTTTAAAAAACTGTTATTTTGCACGCGCTGCGTTAATATCCGCGGGAACACTTAAATCTGGGAGTTTAAAGCCACGGGTCCGCGATGCGCGATTATTCGCATTAGCCCGCGCGACGGCCACGTTGGCCGGATGTTCGCGTCGATGGAATATAACGCGTCAGGACAGCTAAAAGGTTTTGCGAATCGTCTATTTGCGCGAGCAAATCAAATATCAGGCTCGATCGTCGCGCGCCCAACACGCGCAACGTTCGGAGAAGTGAAAACTCGCTATTCGCGTCGCGGCTGTTTTCATGTGCGCCGGGCGACGTGGGATGCGAGCTAACAGTTGGATCGCGCGATACACGTACCGCTGCGTCTACATCACAATTATAATGCAATATAATTGAGTCGTATTATGTGTTATGCATGAGGAGTAACGATTGCACCCGTTACTAATGATGTTAACAATTTTTCTTGCCGACGCAATGTGATTACAGCTCGTTAGTATATTATTAAGAAAGAAATTACAGGTTGCATACGTGTATGCGTTTTCACGCATACGTAATCTTTATTTGCATTTTTAAGCAGCAATTAGGAACGTCGTCGACTTGCTGCGAAAGTTTTTTCGTCATATCGCCTCGTAAAGTATAATAGTACCGGTAGTCATAATGCCATTCAAATGCCAAGAAACTATTTAGGTTAGTTGCGTTCGTTTAATAAAGCCGAGGTTTAGTTTCACCGACTACGAAACTCTCGATTCATTGTTGTACGAACCGGCGCAGTGGTCTTTATTATCGACTGCATCGAACTGCAGCCGCTCCGTGGCGCTGGTGTGTCGGTCAGTAGTGACAAGATGGCGACGCCCAGCGAGCTGTCTCTCGAGGAGATTCGCAAATATTTGTTGGAAAACGGTGGCACTGCCCGCAATCACGACGTGGTGAAGTATTTCAAGAAGTTCCTGACGGATCCCGAGACGCGAGGTACGTCCAAATTCCTCTACACGACGCGACAGGCTAACTGTCTTGTTTCGTCGAGGTGTGACCTCAAAGTAACACGGTGTGCTGTGTGTAAACACAGGACAGAGTTAATACTTGTCACACCCGGCGTCGAATATAACGGCAGTCAGTGAACAGTGCACAAATTCACGTTACAGTCGAAGCACGGAATCGGTTCAAGGAGTATGTAAACACCCTGGCCACTATAAAGAACGAAGAGGTGCGTCATCGAGTATCAATTCCCTTCCGCCTTGACAGGAGCGACTTGTTGCGCGCCGTGCGACGTTGCCGGTTTTACGAATGTCTCGCGCGGCAGACGGAAAAATTAATGCTATCTAGGAAAGTCTCTTTATTCGTCAGTGTGTCCTATTTTAACTTTCAAGCGTAGATATCTCGAAAAATATAGGTTATGTGAACAAATTTTTTCGGGATACGTAACCTCGAAGATTAAAATAGGTTATACCGTATATTTTTATAACCTTTTCCATCCATAAACGATCGAACATTCCACGCGTTTGTAAATAGCTTTATCCGCGTATAAGCATGTGTAAAATTCGAAATTTGTTGAACTGACCTTTAAGCATGCAGCTAACGCCAATTAAGAGGTTTGTTCGCGCAAGCGTGGTACGGAACTTTTCTTCCAAGGCGCGATAACTTCGCAAACTACGGTAGTTGTCAAGACCGGTCGTGTCGCTCCGATCGTTCGTCGAAGTGTAACATTCCGAGTGAAACTGTTCGCACAGGGGGAAAAGTATTTGGTTCTGAAGAAGAAGTACCGACAAACTCCTCTTGAGCTTTCGTCCCAGGAACAAATGGGATCACCTATCGCCACTCCAGACATTGCTACCCCGGTTTCTCCTCTACGAGCTCCTCCGCCGTACAGACCGCCTCCTCCTGCGCCTCTCAGCCCAACGGCGAGTAATGCAAGTACGGTTTGCGAGGAATCGTGTTCGAATTTCGCCCGCGATGGGGCTGCTATCGATGCACAGAAAAATGACGTTGACCATGTCGAGACCGGATTTTCAACGTCCTCACCTCCCGTACCACCGCGCCGTAAAAGTCAAGATAAGATCAAGATCGAGAATAAGGAGAACGTCGACAGGAACAGGGGAGGATCCGAGGCGGTTATCAAGGTTAGTTTTTCCCCGCACGTACTAACGTAGTCGCAAAGAAAGCGTGAAATCTTATCGGCATTCTGGCGCGAAAAAAGGGGGGAACCGCGTAGATGTCGCTAATTGCTGGGGTATCGATGATTACACGTTCGTAAGTGAGTCGGCTAATATCGTACGTAGAATACGTTTCGACTGGAAAGAAAGGTTAGAAACGCGAAAAAATATTTCGAGTTTTAATATTAATACCGTTCACCTCGTATTTTTATATCGTGGTGTGTGATTTTGACTGTTACTCATCGTTCAGTGACCTCACTGGTTAGGCTATTGTGCGTACGACAATGCGTAAATGCCCGATAGAATTCCACGTTTCTTTCTTGTTTCAGCACGCTATGTAGTATTTTGTCCATAGATTCCCGGTTGTGGTTATACACGCGATTAGAGTGTGCAAATGATAAACTGGTGAAACACGTATTCGCTTTATCGCGTAGTTACTTGTGACCAGATAATTTCGGCGTTATTGCGCAATATTGTTGCGTGTATGTACATGGTATGGTTATGTTGAAAGGTGTTCATGGTTACAGTAAACGTCACTTAAGCGGCTATAATAGCGAACGTAGTACACGAAACCGGTGTTCCTCATCCTGTATCCTACTGTTCTGTTAAAAATGCACGTTTTATGTGTAACGTTCTTCCCGTTGCGTGATCTATTTTGCGAAAACGATTCGTCGTTTAGAGTCACAATGCGGCCACCAGTAGTGGAAACGTACTTTTTTAGCGAGTCAGTTTAAGTTAGGTTCCGATAAGCTATTCACGACACGAGTTCAATTTTTCTCAAATTTTAATACAGGACCCTTTATACCTCGCGTGATTGCCAACTTCGAAATTTCTGTAATTGTTCACATTGTGATATTAAGTAGATACACTATCACTGATTGTTTGCTGAACCTCGCCATTTTGTTTTTACACGACGAATAAAGGATCAGTTACGTAGTTTTCGAAATCGAATCAAGTTACTGCAGCGTTTCTCGTGATATCTCGTCGAAACCTACGATAGGAGCGAGGAACTCGCTAAAGAAGCGTCGTTTCGCCTCTGGTCTCCACCTTGGCATGCTTGCACGGCACACGATCGACTCCCTGTACACTGCCTCGCTTTAATTAGAAGCACGAAAGTATGCCATAGTTAGCGAGCACCCTCCGTTTTCTGTTCTGTCGTACCTCCCAAGATATCCACGGTTCGCGAATGGTTTCTAGTCAGCCTTTCTGTCGCTGTGTGTTGTCGTTGCTTCTACGTTTAATCAGTAGTTGGACGTAGTCGCGAGCATATTAAACCTGGTCCTGTTGAGAATTCGGCAATGCGAGAATATTAAACGTGCAGGAAGATGAGGCTGTCGCGGCGAATCCGGGCTCGACCGAGCAATTAAGCTTCCGCGAGCGGATGCAACGCTTCAACCGGATGGCTAGCGAAACCGATCTCCAAGGCAGGCCTAACGGCACTATCACGCCCACTAAAAAGCGATCAGACAAGGTAACCGATAACTCCTTCTCTCTAATATGTTTCTGTTTCGTTACTGAACGTTTGCACGCTTTCACCGAGACGCTGGGTTTGTTTCTCACGTCATTGCACCGGCGGGTTTCACGATTATTGTTTCGTCCCGATCGTCCACGGAATCATGCCTCGTAACCTATTCAGTTTCATTGACTAACAAATCCGCGGCGGCCATTATTTCGCGAATACATTCCGCGGCGAGGTGCGCCTCCGTAACCGCCTAATCGCGATCTGTAATCGATGGCTAGCACGAAATAATGGAGTCTGACGATTGCAAAATACACGAGAGTATAATCCTTGGGTCGAACAAAGTCATTTTGTAAATATTTCGAAATATTCCTTGTCGAAGACGGAGTTTGCTTGATCAATTCTTTATTCGATTATTGTACAATGTGTGTGTTTTTTTTTATGTTGGAATTTCATGATTTATATATTTGCGTATTGACGTTGCACCTTAGTTTTTCTTTTTGAGTACTGATTGACGTTTTATTAGTAGATCTTAGCGACTCCATAATGAAATAGACGTAAGAAGTTTTTGACGTAGTACTGTAAATAATTCTAGTGTAAGGATACATTTATATCGAACACCGATCGAATCATTAATTATAAGCTCGCCCCATTTACGAAATAACACGTAGGTACTCCTAGCTAAGTGTAATTCACTTGTCTCGTTCAAGCAGTTCGTTAAGAAAACACAAAAGCGTACAACCAGGTTTTCCCAACGCACTGACATTCTGCGTCTCGTATAAAATATCGACAAATTACTTGGCTCTAACAGAAAGCTTGTACTATCCGGCCGTGATCTTCACGCGTGTGTAATTCATGTGGGAACACGCGTAAAGGAGCTCCTTATCTATAAATAAGTATATTTTACTTCCCCGCGATAACCATCGACTAATAACACGAGGAGTTTTTAAACGTTTTGCCTTCGAATCATATCCACCATCTACGAGACGCATCGAGCTTGGCACTGTGAGTTATGGTTGATTCCCACTAGCGCTCAGGGGATGCTCGCGCTCGAACGACGGACTTCTTCTTCTGTTCGTTGCATTTTTATATCTATCCTTTCATTTCTATTGTCTAGTCAACGGGGACCTGATTTCAGCAAATACAAAATTTTCTACTCATTTTTTGTATTCACTTTCGTTCCAAGGAGTCATACATCTCGTTTCCTAAATTTCAGATACCATTGCATTATTACTAATAGATATTCTGCATCTGTTGAATTTTTCAATGTATCTTTCGAAAATTTCAGAGGTCAGATTAGCAATCTTTTGTAATCTTTTCCTTTAGTACTATGTACAATCCCCTATTTCCCCGTAAAATAAATATTTAATAAGTACACAATGGGAACTATCGTGCTTATATGGTACCGCAACGAACGTGCCAAATTTCGTAACTTCCCTGTTAGTTTGTTTGTTGTATTAGGTTGACCCGGCTATCGGGGGGGAATGAGCAGGAGATGAGGGCTCGATATATCGAATAATCCACGCGCGAGGATACGCATCCTTTAGCGAGGAAGGGACGCGGCGCGTACAGGTCCGACTGCCCATCTTGCATACCGAATAGACTACTAAGAATCCTTTTCTCGTATCCTTTACACGCGCGCCACCCCTCGCCACATGGCTCCGTCGCCGTTTCTTTTCTCTCCGTCGGTCTCCGTTGCTCTCTCTTGTCTCCTCTGTCGTTGTTCGTGCGCCGTTTATCGCGGCGAGCAATATTCATCGCATTTGAATATCCTGCGGGCGGTATCTCGCGTACCGATCAGGATGTTGCGCCGATGTTGCCGTAAATCATAATTAGCCGCGCCTGAAAATTAAAAGTGGAGGAGGCGAGGAGGGAGTGGAGGAGTTCCTTTCCGCCGCAAAGCCTGCGCGGGCACGTCGCTCGTCCTTTACGCGGCCGATTCTCCATCATCGTACCGATATGTTTATCGTGCCGAACGATTAAAAGGACCGGCCACGCGGAACCCCGCGCGGGAATCGGAAGGAAGGAGCGCCCTACGTGTTCGCCTCGCTCGAACGCTGCCCGGCTTACCGGCGAACGCTGTTCTTTTTATTACACAACTTATGTTCCCCGGTTACAACAACGTTTCATAATATCCTGCCCTCTCGACGATTCTTCCAGATCTTCGCGATCGAATGGCCTGCATATTTCTTAAACTGTTCACTGTTTTCCGCTTCGCCTCGAAAAGCGTGTGACAATGTCCACCGGAAACGCGAGACCGGTACGTTCGGTCGCGAAGGAGCTGCTCACGGGTGGCGCGTGGGTTTCACCGTGATTGTTTATTATTCACGGGCCATCGTCTATTTGTGACGGTGTCCGCCTTTCATGTACGAATTCGACGGGGCGGTTGTTAATTTTTGTTAGAGCGTGAATAAGGGTTTCGGGGCACGCCGGGAGAATCCTCTCGCCTCCGGACATCCTGTAATCTCCTGGGAGCTGGGAGGTAGGGCCCTCACCGACTTGTCGGAGCTTTCTTTGCCCGTAATTATCATGCACCGTGGCCACGGCATTCCGCCCCTCGCATCCCTAATGACCCTTTCGTCTAGCGTTGTGTCGCGTGCCGCGGTCGTTCGCCGTCCGATCGCCACGTCAACACGTTTCACGTAATTTTCCGGCGTGCTTTCTTCGAAAGGCTCGTTATGGGTCATTGAATGCACAACAGTTACGTGCCGACGAAAGCTTATGTTAGCCGTGACGCTGACAATTACAGACGAGACTCCGCGATCGTGATCGGCGTCCCTTCGACGATACTCCCTCGCTTCGACCACAATTTCTTTTGCTTGTTACGCGATTATTAGCACAAAATTACGTAAATGTAAATACAGCTCGTTTCCCCTTGAGAAAGCGAATTATTTTTATTTATTTATTTGTTTGGCGGGTAAACACCCTTCATGGAAAAGTGAAAAGATGGAAAGTTGAAACGAAGTTTCAATAGTGCTTAAAAATATTCAAAGATCCAATTATACTGCCCCAACGCCAAGAAACGTCCATTTAACCGTAAAATCCGATTATTTAGGGGATGTCGTATTTAGGGACAATTTGCAGGATTCCAAAGAAAAAGGGAAATTATTTCGAAGCGTTTCGAGTCCCGCGTTAACGAAAGGAAATATTAAAACGATGCCACGAAGTTAATGCGGTTATTCGTAGTCATCGCACTTCGGGGCTACGGACCTCGCTCGTTTTTATGTAAATACGTTGGAAATGTGGGTGGTAAAGAATACTATTAAGAGTTGTATCTTCGTGAGAATTTTCGTAATCGTATGTATATTTCTCACCGTTTCCACGAAAACGGCTTTCGATGCGACGGCGTGCTCCGAAAACTGTTACCACCGTGAGCCTCGTCGTGCTTTTCCGAACTCCTCGACTTCCTTCTATGTTGTCCCTGACGATCCGTCTAGGCGAGCAGCGATCCAAATTATAGCTTTTTATATTTGACAATTTTTTTACACCATAAGTGTTTGATGAAATTTTTCATCACTTTCAACACACTGGGTCTTTCGACCACCCCTGGGAAGACATTTCTGGCCACACAGTATATTTTCGGTCAAGAATTTTTTTCTCTAAACTACGTAGGATTTCGGGGGTGAAATTCGCCCACCTACTCGAATTTTTTTCTTGAAAATGTGTAAGATTTCGGGGGTATGTCTATTCACCAAAAATGATTGTAATGGACCCCTGCAACTAAAAATAATTTTCTTATGACGATTTAAAATTTTTTAGTTTCGTCGAAAAATTTGTCCACTTATTGAATTGTTTTCTCGTAACTAATTTGATTTTCTGTGAATGATTTGATATTTTTTAATAACTTTCAAATATCACTTCTTGTTTTACTATTTTACATGAGTGTCCCCCAAAATTATTCCCATTTAAACAATTGTAAATTTGCAAGTGCACTTATAAAACCCTGCAAAATTTCCCTCTACGATTTTGCTCTTCTTATGCCAGGGACATACGTATTTACGTCGCTCATTCCAAAGTTTCGCTCCCGGGACAGAGGGAATCGCGGCACAGTTGTTAGAATCGTCCTTAATAAGGCCCAAGGTTTAATTATTAAACAACTTTCCCATCCCTTTTTTCGCCACGGCGGTGTTTCAGCGCGCATGTTAACGCGCGAACGCCGAGGGCGTCTTCCGCGATACGCCTAACAAGAAACCCGCTTTTACTTCGACACCTCGAGGACGCGTTCTAATTAGGATCACGCGTGTTCGCCTCTTCTACGGGGCGAGTCTTGTCGGGTAGTTCCTCCTTTCCGCATGGCGGGCGAAAGAGAAAGGCAGAGGGTGGCTAGAGATACTCATCGTAAAGGCACCTAACACGGCCATGCCGAACTTGGAATTTCTCTCGTATAGTTCCGCATACATTAGGGACCCTTGGTGAAACTTGCCAGGGTAGTTTGCCTCCTGGCGAAAGGAGGCGAGGTCGTCGAGAGGGCTGAGGCGCGCCGTGCTGAAGGACGAGAGCAACGGGCGTAGGGGTGAGTTCGAGGGTGTAAACCGCACAAAGTAATCTTACAGAATGTATATGCAAAGAGGTTCACCGGGCGGAACGACGGCTAGAGGAGGGGCGGGGAAGGAGAGGGGGAGGTGGGGGAGGGCACAGCTTGCATGATCCCATCCGCGACAACACCGACAAGACACCCCCAGAGGCAAACTTACCTCATAGTTCGAAGACTCTTCGACCTTTGTTCCGCCGTCGTCGTCCTCCGGATGGTTTTTATCCTGTTTTCTTTCGCGAATTTAATCAATAAGCGAGACGCGAAATATATCGAACAGGCTACACGGTTTTGCACTGAGGGTCGATACGAGTTAACCGCTCGTTCCACCGATTCTTTCGACAGGGGTTACCGGTTTGTCGACGCCGCGGATGAGAAACGTTTGTCGTTCAGTTTCTTTTCGCGTTTTCGAACCGGGCTCGGTTCCCGTTCCCCTTCGCTCGAAAAATCGTGACTTTCTCGACGAGCCACTAAACGGCTC